AACCCCCCCCCCCCCCCCCCCCCCCAGTTACTCAGTCTCTCACCTACCTTCCGAAAAGAATTTTTTAAAGTTTAGATTTGGTTTCTTTTATTCAGGATAAACAACTTTACAACGCACCCAGCTCTGCAGAGCAGCAGTCATAAGATACCTGCCAGAAGAGCACCAACAGCATTCATTTGTTTGGAGGAATCACCCGAGCACCATTTTTGAGTTTGATCTAAATTAATCAGCCTCTGAAAGTCCATTTCTGCAGACAGCCTTGAAGCCAATGAAAACCCAGAAAACTAGAGTACATTAGTAGCTGTGTTTTCCCCTAGCAATTGCCACAGTTTCAGATTTACAGAAGTGAGGCAGGTCAGCTCTCCAGCCAAGAGCCACCTCTCCCAGCAGAGCTTGAAGAGCTAATTCAACATGGTTGTACAAGCACAAAGCTTTCTAATACCACCAGCATTTTTAATTATTTCTTTGCTGCTTTCACCACCTGGAAGTCAGCTTTTACAGAATAAAAGATTACTTTTTCAAATCTTTCTCACAGCCACACTGAGACAGGCACAAGGGAAAGACTAAAGACCTCTGCCAGAGCCTCTAAAGCCGCATGCCTCCTGTCCCTCATCTTACAGCCCAGAGACCCCATACCAACAGGCCATTCCTCTCTTCTAAAATAAGGGGCTAGTTCAGGAAAACGGCACCCACCACGCCCTCACTCTGCCTCCTCCATGCTGCTTTTATCCCCCAGACACCTGGCCCAGCACCCACACCACCTCCACCTTTATTGGCCCACAGCAACAGGCTTCAGCTGGTGCAAATAGGCTTTTTAGCTGGAGGGAGGGGAGGAGGCCTCTCCTTAACCCCTTCAGGCTTCCTCTCTGACAGGCAGCAGGTGCATGGCAGCAGCATAGGTGTTTTCTCCTGCCTTACCCCTGTGTTTGTGAGGGAGCAAAGTCTCTCTGCTCAGGCCTTCACGCCCATTGCTGCCCCAGCAGTCACCTAGCTGAGGTGGCCCTCCAAAAGACTATGCAGTATCCACTGGATAGGCAGCTTTTTTGTTTCTCTTCGGCTTCTAAAACCAGGGTGGTTTGTTTGTTGTTGGGTTTTTTTGGGTGTGTGTGTTTGTTTTTTTCCTTTTAGATCCCTAAGAAACTGTTCTTCTACAAAATATTGCAAGAAATCTTGGTTGAACTCAGGGAAGGATCTGGTCACAGTTTTGTCTCTGAACCATGCGCAGTGTGCTGCTGCAACAGGAACAACTGTAACACTGGAGCATGTCATGGCAGCAATGCTTTTAGAAAGCGACTTTCCCTCCAGCAACTTGTTTTATGTGCTGAATGCAGGATTTAACTTTTGACGCTATGAGAACTTACATAAAGGTTCCAGTATTTCATTAGCTCCAAGTGCACATATGCCTTTAAGGGTAATAAAGACACAAATAAGGTTGTGAGAGTAAAATGCATATATTCTAAAGAGCATAGCTTCAGTGCTGTATACCCTTCGTATTACACCTATATAGTCAAGCAAAAGACAACTTCTTAGTAAAAAGAAAGTAAAGTTGTTTTAGGACTCAGATATTGTTACAATCCAAGTGCCTCCTGCATGGGAAGGCCAATCAAAACCCACAGCTCGTTAAGGTCCTTTTGGTTTCCAAAGACACAGAAGTACAAATAAAGCAACATCTTTTTCCAGCTGAGCTGCTTTGTGCAAACACAGTGTAAGGTAAATACATGGTAAGGGCCCGGGTTGCTTTGAACTAACCACAGACAGATAGGCTAAGCATCCATGAAGGAATTTAACGTGGAGGCAAGGATAAAAGTAGCTTCCCCCTGTCAAGACATAGGCAGTTTGGATCTTTCCCCTTGTTTCTCTCAGCATAAGCCTAACGTTTACAAAATCAGAAGTAAGGACTTAACACAATGTTTATTTTACTCCTGAAGTAGAAGTAGCAGCAGTGTTTGATTACAGTTACTGGATACACTACAGTCTGCTTTCTCCTCTCACTGCTAGTATTAACTTGCTCTTCAACCAAGAGTTGAAAGTTTGGATCTCAAATGGTTTTCAGAGTAACCGCCTTGTGCTGCTGGAAGCAATGAGCGCTTTGCCATTAGCTCGAGTGGCAAGAGGAGGGACTACGCCATAGCTGAGGGCAGCATGGTGGCTGGCCTAATTCCTGCTCTAATTCTGTCCCTCATGTTGGTGGTTGGCACTTCACAGCAAATACCATCTTGCTTGAGAGCAAAAGAAACAGCTCTTTTTATTAATTCCTACCCTCTAGGATGGCATCTGCCAGCTGGTACTAAGGGAGGGTGAACTTCACTTTTGCAAATGCCAAAGCTTGAATTTTAGCCGCTTGGGTTCAAGGACTTAGCTCTGCTCAATGCCTTGTAGACAGCACTTTTTTCCCTGCTCGTCAGTCCATGGTTTTCCAAAGGATGAATTCCTCCCAAACTCTGTCCTTCCTCACTATTTAGAAGATGCCTTTGAACAAGGAACATGTCCTGCTAAATGGGTAGGGACTGCATATATTATAGTGAGATCTTAACGACTTATTGGTCCCTAAGTATTGAAGAGTAATCATCACTACACAACAACTATATTATAACAAAATGCCTACACTTATTCAAAACACATTCTACTCATTGCAGTCAATCCTGAGGGACGGTTTAGGAAAAAGCTGTGGAAATGTGCAGAAATTCATCCTTCCTTTTTCCCCGTTTTTCCAGAACAAACAGCCTGACAGTGTCAGAAATGTGTTGTTATACTTTGATGACCAATGGTTTTCCAATTTTTGTTTTGAATAAAATGACGTAGTTGAACTTTGCATTTCTGAGGATGAAAGTGAACTGTGATGGAATCAGAAAAAGATGTATATTTTCAAAAAAACATATCCAGGTCTTCCTTGACGTAGTATTAGATCATTAGTAATAGCAAACCCTAAAATTAACCATGTGCACTGCTGAAAAAGAAACTAGTAAACACCGTGTGTTGAATCACATGATAGTAAGCTGCTTTAACAATGATAGCAAAATTAATTGTAACAAAATAAGACTTCCTGTTGTTTATTAGATATTGTAAGAATGAAATGTACAGTATACAAAATTAATATAAAAAATGTTCACGATTGATTTTAACGACACATTTTTCTTTGGATTAACTGCAGACAAGCAGCTTTTTAAGAAGTTATGCTGAGATCTATTTTCTATTATAGGATCTCAAGCATATCACTATGTGCTATCTACAATTTTAATCTACAAAATGAAAGCTACTAAATTTTTGCTGAATCGTGGTGGCATTTGTTGGAAAAGAATAGAACAGCAACATTAGCTTAGAAGAGAAAAAAATACTAGTTCATTACAACAAAATGTTAATTGTTCAAGTTCATAAGCAAAATTGCTTTTGAAATTTCAAACCTTACAATTGTACATTTTCAGTATCAAACACTTGCCATAAGAAGTTACATTCTACTATACTGGTGACAAAGATTTTCAACTTTGTTTTTCTTTTAGATGGATACATAATCCTGGTTTTCTTTTTCCTAATGAATTTTCACATCTTTGAAATTAGTGTTAAACAAAGTTCATTCTCCTAAAGAAACAGTTTAAATATGGTGCATTTCATAAGCTGAATGTTTTCATTTAAGGTATATCTATATAAAGGAATGTAAAATAGTTTTCATTTGTTAAATCTGTGTATTTTCAGTTTATGTCATATTGTTTAGCAGAAAGATAAAGTAGCTACTAATGACTAATCTAGGTAGCCTAAAAACAGTCTATCTGTTCCATACATTACATGTTTGCCATAACGCTTTTCACTACAATATAAAATATACTAGAAAAACTGAAATTATTACCAGGGAATATTACATACAGTTATTAGTATTGACAATGTTTCCCTGACTAAAAAAAAAAATCTTTAATTGACTTTCTCATACATGCTCTACTTTGCAATAGGAATATGATTTAAACTGAAAATTCTTCTCATATTGTCCAAACAATTTTTCTTAATAGACACTGACTGTATTTGCACAATTGCAATGCATTCAAAATAGTGAACTGCTGCCAGATAAGCCGGTCAATGATTTAAAACAGGAATGGGTGCCTGACAAAGAGCAGGCCAGCCTTCCAGAACAAAATAGACAGTGTTCTTTCTCTTGAGGTGTCTCTAATGTAAATCACTTCACCTTTTAAGTTGGCACATATCACAAGAACCCTTAAAACAATCCCTGTGAAATGAACATGAAAACAAACCACAATACAAACAATGCAAAGTGATTCTTCAGAAATTTAGAAGAGTCCAAAAATATTTTTGTTCTTATATCTTTTAGCATTAAACTGGTAAAATTCAGTGCATTGGGTATTGTATTTTTAATAGATAAAGTATTCAAATTATCTTATACTGGGAACAGCTGGGCTTGCTGTTTTCTTTCCTTTTGTTTTTTTAAGACCAATGGCAAGAACAATCTGTAGGCTCTTGGATTGAATAGCTGACCCAGGTTGAATTACTAGTGCAATACAATTGCACAGTTCGTCTCTGCAGCCCGAGCTCCCTGCAGCATTTGCAGAATCTTGCGTATGTGTTGATGTTATAGTTGTAAATGCTTGCAGACGGGCACTTTCCATCACACGAAACAATGTTCACCTGGTAAAAAACATGAAGAATAATCAGCAAATTGAAGCAGCTAGGAAATAAAGTTAGGAGTTCTCAAGAAAGTCCAAAGAAATTAGGCGCCCAAATCCAATGGCAAAGCAATGAAAAATATGGAGGTATTTCCTCTAGCCCCTTGTGAAATCCCACTACATCTGAGTAACAAACTCTGAAGTACATTGCCCAGACAGGTCTCAATTTTTATCTTACTGAGATTAATGATCACTTTCCTGTCAGATCCAATCAGCAGATTTTGGCTATTAACAGACACAAAGAAACAATTTCAGTTTTGAATTTTAAAGTATTCATAAGAACCTTGGCTTGAACATAGCACCAAATGTTCTGTCCACAACTCCCTACAGTATTAATTTCAGTGACATACTGATGCAGTGTTGCTATACAGTAAGGAGGAATATAAAGAATCGGTCCTTTGGAAAGCCAATGGGAATTACTAATGGTATCAAAACTGTAATACAGACTGTAACAGAAACAGTCATATAAACTGATAATTTTTTCAAGTTTAACAGTCAGGATTTGCATTTCTGTTCGATGAGACACTGAGACTAAATTTCCTGGCTGCTCAACAGTTTACTCTACAAAACATACTCTCAGAGCCATTTTAGAGGTTACAGCTGTTTCCCTGTACTCTTTTATTACAGCTTTTCCAGGCGCTCTTCCACATCTCACATGAGACGCCTGTCTGCACCCTTGCTGCTGCTCACACTGCCTTACTGCCCAGCAGGACATTGTTGGTGTCCTCCTACAGTAAATCCTTCAGTAGACACACGGATAGTGCCTCATTCTTCCTACACATTTCACAGTATGCTCATGCTGCTGTCTAAAAAAACCCTTCAGGACCCAAGCTTCCTTTCTTCATGAAGTTGGCATTTAAATACTTTCCCTAGACAGATGGAAAATTAAACACATATACTACAGTTAAAACGGCTGTAGATCACTGGCAAGACTCAGTTATATCAAAGTTAATTTGCATATAATAATTGCATTATAGGGTGAACTGAGACATTGGATTTGCACTAAATCAACATGCGCCTAAATACTTACAAAAGCACAAGTCACATCCCCCTTTTTCTTATTATTTGAGAAGATGATTGCTGAGAATGTAGGGAAACATTAAAACAGCTCTACGAAACACAGAAACCTCTGTCTGCGAGAGAGATATGCAGTGAATAGCTTTGTGGAATTTGTGTTCCCTTTCTTCCTTTTTTTAATTTCTCATATTTTTTCCCTTCTATTAAAAAAAAAATCGTGATAGTTATGTACTTACTGGTGTGTTACTCCTGCAGTCATTCTTGCGGATCGTCATCCTAACAGTCACCTTTTTACAGAATTTTCCATCTTCCTTACCTGCAAAATGGGCATTGATTGAAAAATATCAGCTCAAAATTTTAAACATCTCAGAGACAAGAACATTCCTGAATGTTTTATGGGGTCAAGAGACACAAAGAAGAAAATACCCAATACATCACTGCACATACAAAACTTTGGCAAAGTGACATTAGCTATACATTGTATCGCTTTTAAAATTATTCTATTCCATGCATTAAACTATCTGTCTCCTTATATCTCTAACAACAGTTATAAAAGGTTCATTCTTCACTCAGAAGCCTTTTAAGAGTAAGTCCACTGTCTTTCAAAAAATTTGGTAAAATTGATCAGCCACTCCTGTGACAAGGCTTGTTAATAATGCATAAAATGCATTTTCTATGAAATAGCTGTAAAAAACTTTAATGGCAGCAATTGCATTCCAGTGGTGTAAACGAAGTTTAAAATGAACACTTAACAGCAGAATCTGATGAAAAATAGGGCTTCAGCGGGCTTTACATTTCTGTATGTTTTTTATTAAATAAGAACACCACCAGTGAACAAATTAAATTTTTTATTTACATTTTCATTAGCATTATTTCCACAATTTTTCTCACAGAAGTATGTACAAAGTATATGGATGAAATAAAAAAGACAAAAAGAAATCATGAAATGAAATAAGAAGAGTTAAACTTAATTTAAGAAGGGAATCCTGAATATATGAAGAAAAGCAAAGAAGTTCAGTATAAAGTTCAGTTGTTAGAGATCAGAAAGCACAGTATCTTCTTATGATGATCCTCTCTATGCTGACGAAACCACATCACATTGCAGATCTGTAAGAGAAATGAATAGTCCATTCCATTATAACAGCTTCCACAGTTTCACAGCAGATTTTACACCCCATGATGCAGTCCCACGTGACTCTCCACTTACAGAGCTGCTTTTTCTTTCAGCCAAGAAATCCAAAGATGTTGACAAAAGGTGAATACTGTTAGCTCCAGAAAAGCAAGGGCAATGAAAGATGCATCGGTTTGACCAATGCCCAATACTGAACTGTGACAGAGCTTTATTACATCTTGATGTGCAATGTCCAGTTCCCTGCTCTGATCACTGTCAAACCAGGTAATACTGCTTCTCAAAGAGAAACATTTTTTGTGTTATGCTTTTTTTTTTTAAACATATAAGCCTGCTGCTATTTCTAGACAAAGCAGAGGTTTCTAGAATATGAAAGAAAGGTCAGCAATGAATCTTCTTGGAAGCAAATAAAAATCTACAATCAGAAATGGCCGGCTACTGCTCGACTATCATTGAATTATATTTGCTCAGGGAAAAAGTAAATTAAGAAATGAAGAAAAAATAAATTGTTTTTAAAGATAAAAACTCACCATTATTTCATGTTTCTCATGTCAATAGTCCTATTCATGTCTTTTCTTCTTTTACATTATACATGGCATGTAGGATGGATAATTCAGTGCAGCTATGGCTATGACTTCATCCAGGCTATAGTGAAAGTACATCATATCTCAAAGAAATAAATATATAATGTATTTCCATGCATGTACTTTAATGTCCAGTGGCTTTTAATGAGCTCTACAATATAATATACTTTTCCATGAACAACCCTACAAAACATGTGAGCATCTTATACGTGTTGTGTTATAATGAGATTCTTTTTCACAGTCTGTATGGTCAAAAATCCTTCCTTGGTTTTTGGGTAGACTCATAACACCTTTGTCATTTAAAGTGATGTCAATATGAAATATAAATTTCAGTGTAGTACTCCTAGAGTCATTAGTGTAATTTAACAAAGGATGTATCACTCAGTGATGTACAAAATTACAGTCAACATAATTTCTCTTACAGAAATAGAGAGATGTTTTCACAAAATAAATGCCAAAACAATAGCATTCATACCATGTTACAATTAAAAAAATTATCATGCTCTATTAAAAAGAACAAAGATAATCTCCAATTTTCATGGAGTAAACACAGGCTTGCTATTTTCAGTATACTGTCCGAACTACAGATAGGAAAGAAATGACCTGCTTCTACTGTATATGCCACTGGAAGCAAAACTATATGATACATCATCTGCAAAAATGTTTTTTATATAATAAGCTTTAACAAGCAAAGCCATTAGTCTCTATGTTCTGCAACACTGTGAACATAATGGAAGTAGCTTACATTTTTAAACACAGGAATTTTACACATGCAGCAAGCTAAAGACTACGCAAGTGCTTACTACCAACAGTACATTGTTGGCTAACAACAATGCACTGCCCACACAGTGCAAAATGAAAAACAAAACCAAACCAAAATGTGAGCCACTCTGAACCATGAGCAGTTATACTACACTGCAGCTTTTGGCATAATTGGGTAACTTGAGGCCTGATGGTCCTATCAGGGAGTACATTGTTGGAAATCAACAATGATGCTGTTTGGGTTGGTCCTACTTATTTCTAGGAAAATGTACCTGTGTTACAGCTAGCATAGGCTGTAGGAGTGACTGGGCTAACAGGGAATGGGAGGAGCATTGACACTGAAGAACCTGGTAAGAATATTACATATTGAACAGAATACATGTTACAGAGGATTCCCTATCAGTATGAAACATTTTGGAGTTACTAGATTTCGACATATTTGAGAAAAGAATTCAAAGTCTATACTTAAAACGTCTGTATATTACAGGATCACAGAATGGTTGTGGTCGGAACAGACCTCTGGAGGTCATCTGGTCCTACCTCCCTGCTCAAGCAGGGATCACTGTGCCAGCAGCTCAGGACCATGTCCAGGTATTATTTGCATTGCTAAGCCTAATGTCAAAACCAGGAAGGATTTGATCTACATTGGTATAACTAAGACAATCTGGTAGACTAAATTTAAGTTGTCCTTTGGGGCTACAAGAAAGAAATAGTATAATTTCCTCTGAGCAGTGTTTGTAAAACCTCTCTAGGTTCCGATGGAACTCTTGGGACTTTATTTTCAAGTACCACTTAAAACTGAAAGCAAAAATCCCAATGGTTTCTAACGGTAAAGTACTTCAAAAAAAAATGACAACCTGCTAACCCTTCCCATAAAACATCTCACACAATTACAGTTGACTAACAGCTCCCATGCCAGATTTGTTCAGGGTCAGAATGAACTACACGATTCCTAGAGGTACTATGTTGTCTATAAACAGGTGTGAAATCCAAACTGTATGAATCTACTTGTAAATGCATCTCAGAAGTCACTGGATTTTTCAAGGGTTTAATTTTCCTTTGTGATGCATGCCCCAGATTAATAACTTACTTTTGTATTAATTATTTAAGAGTGTGGTTATGATCTTTCTCTAAGTATCATAGCAAGATCTTCTGCCTTGCTGAAAAGTAGCTTAATGGATTTTTAAGTCTTAAGTTGTTTGTTCAGAAGCTGGCTTATATGGCTGCTAAGGCATTGAAGGGTATGTCAGACAATCTATTCTCAAAAGAGCCTATGGAGAATTGGCTACAGAACTGGGACAAGTGCTTGAAACACAGGTCCATCAGAGTGAAAAAACATGAAGAGATATTACCATTCCCTTACAGTGATCAGGAGCAGGAAAAAAGCAGATAAATGTTCCACAGTTTCAACAAACTTTGTACTCCAAAATGTAATACATAATGAATAACACCAAAAGGTACCTCCCAGTTGGCAACATATATCCCACCGCAGTAACTGTGCACATGGTACCATATCTGGTAGTCATGATTGTTCAAGTCCCATCCCACCCAGCAGGAAATACCTGCACTTTTCTCCAGCTCTCTCCCACACGTTATCTCCTACTATCTTTAGCTTTTATGTCACTATTCCACCCACTTATACAAATGAAGTGAGATTTTCGCACCTTTTAAAAGATAATATGATACTGCCTAGTATAAAATCTCCTTTTCAATTGCTTATAACATTGTCAACTTCAAGTATTAGAGCTTAAATTCTTCAGGTTAGGTGTCTGCCTCAGGCTAAGTTCTTCATTAAATCAGCCAAAATGTTTCAGTGTGTTAAGAAAAAATGTACTTAGCTCTTGATTTATATTAAGAATTAGCATATTTGGAACCTATGTCAAAACATATCTTGGTAATCAAGTAAGGGGGGATTTTTTAATTGTAAGTTCTTTTGAAAGATATTGCCTGAAAGCTTCTGAACTATGTCCATTAATGGAATCTAAGACTGTATTACAATCAGTTAATTATTTACAGCATTAACTTACAAACTGCATAGATCAACCTTCATTTTTGCAAATATGAAGATATGAATGTAGATGAAGCATGTTTTAAGGTGCCTTCCAAAACACAGTACCTTTTATTATACTAAATGCAGTAACTAGTATTTTGAGGAGTTTTACATGAGAACTACAAAATACTCAAGGTAGCAATTTTAGGCCAGTCACAATCACTATCAGTGGAGTAAACCCTTCAATGTTAAACTACTTTCTTCTGATTTAACTCCACCAGTTTCACTGGTATTGACATGAGTAAAACTGGGAAAAGCACGGCCTTTGAGATCAGTGAATCAAGCTTTCATGCAGGAAAGAATCAACCTTATTTCTAAGGTAACAACAAATCAGACAGACTTGTGAGGCAGGAAGCGTCATTAATCACTTACATGTTTTGCAGCATCCTTCTAAGAATGGTACAACATAGCCTCCAACCTGACCAAGAGAGAATAAAGAGGAAAAAAATTTGATTTGTTTCAAATATTCATTCCCATATATCTGCATTATTAGAAATATCTTCCAGATAAAGCTCTGAAATGTTATTCAGGCAAATGCAGCACTCCGGTGAATGGATGAAGGTTTGGCTGTAAATGATGCAACTTGACTGTTTTAACACAAGTGAGTATTAAGTGGTTGTCACTGAATGCCACTATACATCACCAGCTATCAAAATGCCACATTTGGAGAGGGACATAAGACTGTATTAAGTCTTACTCCATCACATGTTACTTAAGAGTAAACCCCTGATTTCTTGTAGAGGCCATATTGACAAACACAAAAAGCTGATTCTGAATTCAAAGCAGGAAGAAATCTCATCTAAATGAGAAACCACCCACTCCCCATAGTGGAGAGCATCATGGCTGTCTTCAGTGCTGTAGCATGAAGCACTCTCCAGAGTACTGTGGGAAGAATAGGTGCAGCTTTTTAAAAAGCTCTCTCAGGATTACACTGAAGGAGAGTTCAATTTTTGATGTCCACCTCAGTATCTCAAGCCATAATGATCTATCTCTCTGCTTAACTTTTAGTTTGCCTAGAACAGCCAAAGGCCTTTCTCCAGCTGTATAACTGAGACTCTCTCTGAAGAACCAATCCACTGTTATCTGCCAGGAAGAACTACAGCCACCTAGTTCCTTTAGGACTGTTCCCTGCTTGTGTACCACCATTCATTAAGGAAAGTATCCTCCCAGCCACATGTAAATGTAGAATTACAGAGAGCAATACGAGATTGCTCCCTGCATACATTTCCTGGCACTTAGTCTAATCTCATTTTACAAATTCAAATAGAGCTTTTGCTTCTCCTGCAAAACTAGTCCACAAAACCTTATGTCTCACTGTAGAAAAGATTTTCCTGATATTCAGAAAATCCTTCCTTCTCTTCAATGTTTTTGGCCACTGTGATGAATCAAATTGCTATATGCAGAAAATCAGTTAGAAAGGAGAAGTCTGACCCAGAAAAGCATCCAAGTTCAGACAGCTGTATGAGGACTAGTTTGATACTATAAGCCTCTATGAAAAAAAAAAAAATCTGAAAAGAAGAAGAGTTCTCTCCAGCTGTGTAACTGGGCAGTCTGGTGGCACACTATATGTGTATAGCTAGAGCTTTTCACCTTCAAATGTCTGGGCAAAAATGCAGGCATTGCAAGAATTTACAATTTTCTCCCTTCTTGAGGTAAAAACGTCTTTTGTCAGTGTTAATCTTTTCATACAAACATAAATCATAGCTGGAATACAAACAATGTATTGAACACTGACCTTCACACATTCAGTTTCATTAAAGGGTGGGCAGCCCACTGAAGAGGAAACCAGAACTGGTCCTATTGCTGTGTAAGTGCATTCGTACCTGATGCAGTTTGAAATCCAAACAGTACCAGGCTGTTAAAAATTGTAAAACAAAATCTTTACTTAGCAACTCAGCAAAACCAGTATTATAAGTATTTATTATACAGTTCCATTGAATGTGATTTTGTCTGAATCAAAAGTAACACTTATAGCAAAATATAATTTAGATGCATGTTGAAGTTCTGTTTAAGTACAGAATTTAAAAGTCCACTAAATATATAATGTTAAGCATGTTCTAAAATAGTCAAGTTGATGATAATTATCTGATATTATCAAAATCCCTTAATCTTTGTAGACAGCTATATGATTGGTTCTCCAAGAAATTAATGTTGTGTACATGCAAAATTATTCCTAGTATTTGGCCAAATAAAGCTCTTCTTTGTACATTTTATATGGCAGAGTGTGTACAGTATCTCAATTTTTTTGTTTACTTCTAAATATTTTGAGGGAATAAGACATGTATAAACTTACCTTAAAATTGGAAACTGTGCCATTGCGGAAAGTGTGGAGACAAGACAAGTTCTTACAGCTACCACAGCAAGTTGTTAAATCTTTTGGAGGCTGATAGACTTGGTTCTGCCAAAATCAAATAGATTATTCCTTGTATAAAATCATCTTGCAGCTCAACATTTTACTACTGTAAAGGGCAGATTTTTTTCAGGTATCTGATTTTAGGGATGGTTTTGAAATAACTTTCAAAACCGCATAGCTTACATTTGTACACACTGTACATTCATGAAGCTTTTATAAAATACCTTTGATCTTAATCGAAGTAAATGGGGAGAAGTTCCAACTCTGAGAGAATGAACTGGTCTTTCTACCATTTTCAAATGTAAGTCTGACAGCTTACTTTAAGCACCGCTGAAATTTTGACTTTTTACACATTAGACATCAAGTAAGTACATAATTAGAAAAAGTAATCTATATAATATTCCCGTGGTAACGTATCATATTTTGTAAAAAGACAAGACATGGTATATTTGCTTATTTTATAAAGCTGCTTTCACCACATTTAGAATTATTCTTCTATTTATAATTATTCTCTTCCCAATTCTTATTAAGCTAATCTCTGCCAGGAATTTGTACCAGTTTGCGCATAATGCAGCTTAAGTTTTACAGGGATGCAAGGTGGCAGTATGCTATATACATTAGTTCGTATAAGATTTACATGGGGGAGAAAACAGTGAAGGGAGTGAGACTTTTATAAACTTCTATCAGAAGTGTGGTAGCAACATCATTAGAGGGAGATCTCATAGTTACTCTCTCCATCTTGTTCCTATGACTGTAATCTACTCAACAAAACCCAACGAAATGTAATTAAGACCACCGGTCACAATATACATGTCTAAAATTCTGAATTTCTTACAGCTTTGCACTTGACAGCACAGTCTATTGAAGATGTGTTTATTCGGTAGTATTTAGTGGAGGGATCAATCACATTTGTACAATAAGAAATATGGCAAATGCCATCTGCACTGTGTTCCACGATCGTCTGTCCAGGAAGCAGCACACCTCTCTCATTACTCAGGCAAACTTTGTCTCTCACTACAAGAAAACACAAAAATAAACAGCATGCTCAGGACAATCAGCTTGGTATCAAAACTCTGTTAAAAATGTTTCAAACAGTAAAACAGGAATGGAAAAAAGCTACTCTATCTCTTTAAGAATTACGGGTCAGATTTTCAAATATAACCTGTTAATAGTAGTCTAATGCTTCACTACAATCGCCAAATTATTTCAAATATAACCATGCATGAAATCTAATAAATATATAATATTCTGTTAGCTGCACCACCAAAATGACAGTGCAGGCTTCTTCAACTGATTTGTTTTATAAGTCTACTTCAGGATAAGAAATGTACTTGAGAAATGTTTATTTCTCGTCACTGATTACTGAAGGCACAGAGGATAATTACAGAAGTATACATCTTTGTTGTAGAAATCTAGGCAAGGACAGTCCCAACTCTATTGGTCAACTGGGTGCCCCACAGGAATTATTTTTTCCTGAGTTTTCTCAGATGCTATTGGGCATGCTCTAAGATGAATTTGCATGGTGCTGAATGCTATCCTTGATCTTGTAAAGCACATAAGCATGTCTACCAGCTCCTGCGTAGTCCCATAATGGGTTAGTGGGACTTTTCTTTATATGGACATTGAGTGTGTGTTTTAGTCTCTTGCTGGAGTCCTTACTCCAGCTCAACAATATGCAGGCTGCTTAGTCAACACCACCCAACTTTCCCAAAACTCTGTCTGCTATTTCCCTGCACAGACCTCCTGCTGCAGGAACTAATATAATACAAGGACAGGCGATAATCAACCAAATATTTAGTGAGGGGTCCTATTTTCTTGCCTTTTCTTACACTATTTGTGAATTATGTCAGTCAATTCTTTCCTCCTCAGTACCATGTTCAAAGTGAACATCCGATTTAGAATTCCTAATTTACCTTAGCACTTGAAAGGGTATTTCTTTGAATTAAGTTATTTTCTGACTTACCACATTTATACTTAACACAGTTACAGATATTTTCTGTACTGTTCTGAAACTGTTCATCTATCTGAAGTTTCTGCCCCTAAGTGTATAAAAGCAGAAAAAACGATAAGTGAAATGACAGTGTTTTCTTAGCTGTATGATCTTTTTATTTTAAATACCTTTCCTTCAGGATTTGAGTAGCAGTATCTCTTGCCCCTAGAAACCTATTCTGAATCCACTTTCGTTACCCACAGGGACATTTAATTTAGTAATGATAACCAAATGGGATTTTTTTTTACACCTGACAAACAGGAATGCCTGTTGGTGTCAGTACAGCAGACATTTAGGACAGAAAAGACTAAGGCAGGCCAACAATGAAATGCAATGGCTTGCCTTCCTACAGAAATCTCCATGCAGTGTGGAGTGTATTCTTTCATGGAATAACTTAATGGATATAAATAGTATTACAATAACACAGATGTACTTTTTAATTTTGCCTTTTATTGTTTATACATAGGCATATTAAGATTTTTCTCCTGTTTTTCTGCAAGTCCTGATCCCGTATGCCCAAGTTTCTTCATCTATGAAATGAAAGTACTAACAACAACCTCACTTACAAAACATTTTGAAGTTCCTCTATAAAAAAAATGAGTACTATTTCCAATTCCTTCCTAGGACTCCAAATTATAATTTTAATAAATTATTTATAAATTATTCCCATTGCAATATTATTTTCTGGATAAAATAATGACAAGCAAAATCAAAACATACCCAATACTGACTGAGAACCTAACCCAGCAATGCTAACAAGCATTTTTGTAATGCAGAACAAGTCACTATGAAATACAGTTTAAAAGTTCTGCTTAGTCAGTGGTCTGAGTACATGATATAAGTTAACATATTCACTATTATAACATATCAATATTAACAAAACACTGATGCTCTAAAGTATTTCGTTCTGACAATTTAAAAACAAAATTTTATCCTCAGGTGCATGAAAGCAGTTCCACTTTACAAATACTTCAGGGCAGGATATGGTCATAAAAAACTCCAGAAATATCAGTGCTATACAGCCATTTTATTCTGCAAGATATTTAAACTTAACTGTCTTCTTAAAAATGGTTCTGTTTTCTTGTAAAGCAATTAAAAAAAAAAAGATAATGCCATTGGCATTCCAATTTCACTGATAAAACTATTAGTAAGATACTGATAAATAGATTTATTAAGAAATTAATAAAAGAATACTGACAAAGAAGATGAATTTCATACCAGTTTGCACTGAGGTTTGGGAATCGTTTCGCATGCACATTCTAAAACAAAATACGATTACAGAAACACAAATTTAGAAAGTTATATACTATATTCTTAAAACAGAGCATCAGAGAGAATAGAAATTCTAGATCTACAAATCATCACTGAAGAAGTTCTGCTAGTTTTTGAAATATACCCATCTGGGGAGTCCAGAATGATGTTTGATTTCTATTCCATCCTGAAAACTAATACCAGCTTCTAGGGCCACCTTTACTTATTACAATTTACAGCATAGTATCAACTGCAGTCCACCTGAACACATTAAAAAAAAGATGATCATTCTAGCCACTAGCCTCCTTGCAGTGATGACAATCATTACAATCAATATAAAGCAATGGAGAATTGTGTTTAAGGCATCACAAAGATGTATGATATACTACCGTCTTTGTAAACTTTGTAAACTGGCAAATTCCTGACCTGTGAACCTAATCCAGCCCCCCCTTTTTTTTTTTTAAGCCATAAGTAATTTACTCTCTTACAAAATTTTCAAGATGATAAGTCACCGAGTTTGGACAGGCAAATTCTACAGTATGTGATCACCCTTGTGAAAACAAGGAAAAACAAAACAGGCAGATTACAAAGTTCTGTACCATGAGATGACTTTTCTGTATCATTTGTTCATGAGCAGATCACAATGGTATAGCTGGCTTAAGCCAGACTTAAACACAAGAAGCCAAAGCTCTTGCCAGGGTCTTATTGTCTAAAGCAACTAAAATGAAAATCAGTCATTTTACCACATGTCCGAAAAGGGCAGCACTTCTCTGGGCTCCATACCTCCACCAAAGACATGCCTAGCATACATTTGAATTCAGGACAACGATGTATTTCACAAACTAAAATTAAGGAAAAGAAAGTTCAATAAACACAAGGTTGTCATATTTTGATGAACAGAAATATGAATCAAGAGATAGTAAATGACTTATTCATAATAAATACCTTTAGAAAACATCTTATGTGAAAAGACTAATGATTGAAATTTAATCGTTATCCATCAGGTAGTAGTAGCATGGAGTACAACTACTCTAGACAAATACTTAAAGCAGTTTTAAATCTCCAGAATTTGGGGCCTGAAATTACTCATTTGTCTCCATGATACAGATATTCAGATAATGCTTTAAGCACATGAATTTTTAAAAGTAAAGATTATTTGTTCAAGACTACAGATGATAGCTTGCTTATATGCACAAGTGGAGCTGTATCTCTAAATCCACCATTTCTGGCACTGAACATCCACACTACAAAATTTGACATGTTCTTTATTACTTAAAATATCAAAACCAAGTCAAACTTACTACACTGGTATGTAGGGCAACACCTTTCTGTAGTGTTGCCATCCACAATAAGAACTTCTCCTTCTTGACATTTGGGTATTTGATCAGAGCAAGCCCCGCATGCTGGAGAAAACAATTATTTAAATCTAAAACATAGGAAGAAATTTTACTACTGCCTAGGAAACATGCCCATACGTTTCTCACAGACACATATGAAAGAGAACAGAGATATTCTGCATTCTTTCCTTATAGTCCCTGTAGAAGAGGCTAATTTTCAGTGCAGCTTGCCTTTTCTTTGTTCCCTGCTATAAAGAATGAATACATTGTTTGCGAGTCAGATCACAACAAACAGGATTTTCTCTCCCTTTCTGTTATGAAAAATTTTGCTAGATTTTCTCTCCTACCAAGTCACCCTGTTGTATTCAGGAATGCTCCTCTGCCTGAATTATAGGATCTTGGTTCCCTAATAAAGGGCATCTCCTGTGATCTCCAGTGTTATCCTCCCACTTGAACACATATGAAAACCACAATAGGTACTTTTCGATGTGTACAGTGCAAAGACTCATTATATCAAAAAAGAGACAGAAGGATGCTGTGCAGACAGTGAGAAGAACCAAACACAGCACACTGCTATCACATGATCAAAGTGACCCCCTGATTACTATAAATAACAGAAGTGTAATTCAAGTTTTCTATTAACGCTCAAATTTTTGCACGTAGAAGAGCTAATCAAGATGACTTGGCCTTTGATTCAAAGATATCTATGTGCAAAAATAGAGTAAGTTCAATAGGACCTCATTATCACATTATTATCATACAGAAAACAACTGTATGGTAACATCGGAACTCCTATACTCATGCCAAAAGTGCAATTTTATTATTAAGTCATTAAAGGCCAAACCCCAAAAGAACAGAACAAATTTGCATAATACTTTCATATGGGATATTTACCATCAAATAAGATGGGCCATAGCTGATGCAACAGGATATAGGGAGCAAGAACATATATAACTTCTGTCTTCTTTCAGATAAAATATTCATGCAGCTAGTCCACACACTGTACATGGACAGCCTCTCCAAAGCCCTCAACTTTCTCATGCATGGACTCCGCCACCACTCCTCTACATGACCCAAGAATACTACTCAGTTGCACAAAGCTGTTTTGTGACTCTTGATGGTTGTTGCCATTTCTTATGTTTTGTAAACTTAATACCCATTTTTTTTAACCACTTTCAAGCCTTACTATGTTGGGAGAGCTAAAGGAAGTACAAGAAGCCTTAATTGGTAAGACAATAGTAGACATCATTGCATATGCAAAAACACTTATAGTCTCAACGGGCCAGGATACTGTACCACATATATAGGAAATGCAGCAGGTACTCTCCACCCGAGCAGCAATTAATGTTTGATCATCTTGACAGCTTGGCAACTGCTCCATTGGTTCACATTTTGCTGGATCACATTCTGAAAAAAGTACAACAGATGTATTTATTTATATGAAACATAGCATTCCTCCTTTGTGCTATTATCCCTAAGAAATGGCAGTGCAGAGCAGAGAAATACTACAAGACACTTTAGAAAAACTTTTACCTTGTATCGCAAGAGAACAAAAGACACATTCTCGCCTGATTGTTAAACACAAGAGCCCTTCATCATTATATCTGCTCAGACCAACCCTAAGCTTTTAGATGAAAGAGAATTTTGTAAACGGCCATACTAACAACGTCCTCTACACGACCTACCTTTTTGCTTCTAAGTTGACCTGTTTAGTTTACTGAGTATCTTTTACAGGGTGAACTTTTTTACCTTTTCGAAAGAAACCTACCGCAAACATAGCTGGGACAACAGGATTCTTCACTGTAGTAAGTGACCAACTTTTCCAAGCCATTACACTCAGGGATTAGGGGTTCACAGAGGCTCTGATTACAAACTGTTAAATAAAGGGAAAGAAAAAAAAAAAACCCTTCTAAACTATCTTAAACATTTATAAGTCGAGTAGAGCAGTGGCAAGCAGTATTTGCAGTTTGATACCCCAAATATCCAAATAACAACATGCATATGAAAACCACAACAAACTAGCAAAAAACCCTGAGGCAATATTCAGAAGCATCCGGCATTTGCAACACTGTCCATGGAGGCAAAGTTAAACTACAGCTGAGTCCTTGTAAGAATTTAAAAAAAAAAAAAAAAAATCCTGTGGAAAAAACTCACTGCAACATTATCCCAGGTGGTCAAAACATGAAAACTGCTTTAAATCTCGTTTTGAAGATGGACTTTCTAAGCTAAATAAGGATTAAAAAAAAAGCTTTTATATCTTGTTTTTACTGCTCACTTTGTAAATAAACATAAACATTCATCTGATCTTTTTTTCTAGTAATTAGTTATATCACATATTTGTATTTGGACATGAAAAATAAATCAGTAGCCTGTACAGCTGGGAGAAACACAATTCACATCCAAACACACACAGAGCTATTTCAGTCCTTATAACCCTTGTCCCCTCCCCCTTTCCCTCCCCCAAAACCTACTGGATATTGAGCCAAATAGTACAAAGTTTCTACAGTTTTCTAAATAATCTGTAAATTCAAACCGAAGTAATTTCCATTCACTTCAAAAGTAGGATGTGTAACAGGAAAACAAACCACAGAGAAAGGATATCTTCATATTCCAGTGGGCAGTATTCATAATCATTAAGGAATACTTACTACAGATCTTCTGAGGACAACATGTCTGATCACCAGGAACAAGCAAGGCCACTTCTGCAAATCGCTGACAGTCTAAATTGTGGATATCTGAACAGTTGTGCTCCACTGAAATAATGGTCTCACTGTCAACACATTTTTGCATACAGCATCCGCTCAAAGAAGTTTTCCAGATCTCACCTACTGCATGAGGTGCTCCTGAGCTGTCTGTACAAGCTAGATCAGGACAACAGAAAACAGAAGCAATTCCTTTTTACTTCAAATTTTGACCACCATTTTCTTCCACAGCGGGTGCGGAACTATCAAGTATAAAAATCTCAGAGTTTTAAAGGCATCACCTATCCCCATCACCACACAAAAAAGTGAAAAAGGACACAGTCTGAGACTGAGTTTGTATGGGAAAGCAAGACACTCAATACCCTCCAGAGGATGAAGGCCTCCACTTGGTTTTGCATCTCCACTGCAAGGCTAGTCACTTAAAATCTTAATCTAATCCTTTGTTTCTAAAGCAGTGATCTGAAAAGAAGTTACTTTTTTATTTCACACATAGCAAAATTATTGATTTACAGTGCTTTATGTAATCTGATTTATAATAAACTGCAGTGTTAAGCATTGGTCCACAACTTGGTGTGCTCAGGCAGAATTGTAATGAAAATAAATATCAATGCTGGCAGAAAGAACATAGGACATATGCATGTATTATTCAAAATGTGTAACTAACCGTTGCTGCATGTCTTTTGAATGCCATTTAGTATCAATAGGTTGGACCCTTTGGCAAAGGGCTAGGTGAAAAGGAGGCCAAGACTAACATAGTTAGAATACTAGAATGCATAAACATAAGCAAAAACTTCCATTTTGAAGAGCATCCTCCAGCTGAGAGAAGGTGAGCAAAACTGTATGTCACAAGGACATTCCCTGCTTGCTCACCTGTACAGTTAATGTTTACTGAATACCTGGAGTCCTCAACTGAATGACATATGCAGAACCCACAAAACATCAGGCCAGAACTTGACTTATTACTAATGAAGTACCTTACCAACAACTTGCAGATAATAAAGAAGAAAATCACATCCAAACATACCACATTTTTCTTCAGGAATACACACAGCAGTGTAAGTTCGGTGAAGGATGGTCCCTCCAGCACAGACGCAGCCCTCTGTCAACACTGAGCAGGAGTCTGAGTCCAGAGAAGCAACCTCATTATTCTGACAACTGTCTGCAACCTCACAGGCAGCTATACAAGCCTGATAGGAGAAGTTTTCAGAGCAGGGGAAGGCTAGGACGGAAATAAACAAATCGCTCATTCTGAAGCTGTAATCGTATGAGGCAGTACCTAAGAGAAGACATTATTGTCGTCTTGTCAAGTTCCTGTCCTTGCCAACTCAGTAGGATCTACCAACCTAAAACATCGATACAGACCAGTTACCTTCTACATGACAAATTCAAACAAAAGGAAGTTGCGAGCATTTTCACTTTTCTTCTTGTAGTAACATTTTCATCAGGCTTCGGTTTGCATTTTGGCAGTAGAGATATCAAACCATACAACAGTGTTGACACAAAGGAGTTTAAACTTCAAAAACATCTGCAAATACTACACAGATTAATAATATAGTGTTCTGAATCATTCTGAATACTTTGCAGTGGGTAAAGAAAATGCAGTGATTACTAAAGGGTGAAGCTTTGTCAATTATGAAAATATATTTGTTAAGGCAAATTCACCATTGTTTTATGTGGAATAATAAAGAATGGGATGAACTATATTTATTACTATTACTATATTTAATAGATATCCACATTAATTACTCTCTTGTATGTGTGTGTTATTTTCAAGTCAATGAACACAGTTAAATTTACCATTCTTTATACTACTAACGTAAATTCATTGGCATGTTATGCATGCATGCAGGAATAGACCAAAAAAGCATCTCATTTTGATTTAACTTTTGCTGTTGAAAACTTAACATGATCTTTCATTGGTTCAAAACAGTGATTAAAGCTGCATAAATATGGCAAACAGAGAATGACTACAAATGCCAACAGTGTGGTTCTGTGAACTACTAAAATATATGATCTTCATCATGTAATGATACCTAAATCATACAGCAACACTATCTGGAATCATGGTAATGAGACAAAGTCCAGTTCACAAAGGGACTGTCTGCTCAAAAATGAAGAAGGTTCCGGTTTAGACTTTGAAGATTAACTGGGAGAGGAGGTTAATTTTATTCAGCTCCTCACTACTAAAAATGGCCATAATGCCCCACAGGAAATATCTATTAGAGCCCTGTAAATAGAAGAACTCAGGCTTTTAAAAATCAGTCTACAGCATATCAACACTTAGAGACCACAAAATCCAGATGTGACTTCATGGTTCTTCCTTGCTAGGCACGCACCACCAGAGGTCACTGTGGTATAAAAATAAGAGAGTGCTGTGTCCCTTCACGATGGATGGAATACATAACTATATTTACAGACATATTTTGTAAGATCTCTTTTCAAACAGTTATTTGCTAGTAAAATCCATACAAACTGAAGAATTTTTTTTTTAAACTGACTGTTTTTAAGCTTTAAACTCCAAGACTATTATTTGCAGGGCATTACGACATGCCTTCATGAAGCCTGTACACATGTACCCACCTTAAATAACTTTAAAAAAGACATTATTTATGATTTCTATGTACAGCGAGTCCTCCTATTTTTGGGGATCATGCTTCATCAATAAGTCTTTCCCTTTTCAAGCACTGAAACCACAGACCTCCTTACGTTATCACTGCATAGGGCTTTTCCTAGGCGATCATTGACAGCATAAAGAGATGCTGTAATCCAAATTTTCTATTTACTGACAACTACAGATCTCATTTGGCCTTACATTTTAGTATGTTGCTATGGGAGATGTCTTCTGCCAGGATACTCTAGCTCTCAGGTTTTACTCCTTACTTTCCATCTAATCTCAAAGGTGTTTCATTTCTCTAATCCTTCCTCCAAAGACACAGCTTTCTGGAGCAGCATCAAGCAGATATCGCCAATTCCAAGTACTACAGAACTTTCTGTGGCTTCCTCCTTTCCACAACCAATTCTGTTGTGTTTTGGTTTTATCAGTGGAAAGTGGCTAAGAGAAATTAACACTACATTGCAAGTGAGATTTGACTTCTACAGTCAACTACATTATAAGCCAGAGGTAGACTTCTGAGCAAGGTTCTTTAGCTTACCTTTCCTAACTGTGAAATGGCTATAATGATCCTGATTCCTTTTGCACACTGCTTTGAATTATATCATTAAAAAATGCTGAATTTATTATCTCAATAATGACTTCTAAAGTACGTGAGGACTCAAGGAGCATTGGTATTTTCAACTTACAGTAACACTTATATTAGACAAATTTTGTCTCTGTGAACACTAGAGGTACACATACATGCAGAATACCTACGGCAGTAATCAGAGCTTCTCCATTCTATACAAATATTAAATTTGTTGCACATTGCCACATAGGCAGCTAGCGAAATACATGGATTTTGAATGTACTCAGTGTCTTGAACCCATATATTACAGAATAGCTCAGGTGGAACCTAATAAAGAAAAAATAAAAAATATTGCACCTTCATAGAGACCCTGCTAGGTAGGAAATAGATTGACCTTTTTAAATATCGGCTACAAACAATGAAGCCAAAAGTTCTTGGTTTACAGTAAGCAAGAGGCCACCAGCCTTCATTGGTGTACAAAAAGACTCTACTAGTATTTAAAAGTAAGGCTTCCTGAATGTTGAAAAAATATAAGACATCCTTAAGATTCCTCGGTTTCATCTCTTATAAGTGCCAAGGCAAGAGCTAATACAGTTTTTCCAATAAAAGGCATAATTACTCATTGTTCCTTGTTCTCCCTTACCTCTAGGTTTTTGTCTATTTTTGGCCTCAAACTCAACAATATACAAAGGTGAAATGGTAAATGTACTCATATGAGCACAAATACATACTTTATTTGCACAATTTGAGTTTGTTATTTGCTTTAGGTTTGCTTTAAATGGTCTGTTCTACCCTCTCATCTCTCTAAGCTGGAACTCCTTGTCTCTAGAGCCTTTGAGAATGCAGGCTCTCAGATTACCTATTGCAATTTTGAACTTCTTAAATTACTGAACACTTAAGGATTAATTAAATCCTAAAACTATTTTATTTTACTTTGCTCTACATCATATTGATATAGTTGAATTAGCTGGGACTAATTTATAAATGAGATGGAAACAATTAGCTGGACTAATTTATAAATGAGATGGAATCGTCAAAACTAACAGACATATATTATGAATTCTGAAAGCGTTAGTTGCTTATTGCAACTCTCCTATCAAGCTGGCACACTCTTCAATTATTTTTACCTTACAACTCTATATACAAAAAAGTATCTATCTCATTCCACAGACATGGTTACATGTAGTTTCACATTAATGAAATTATCAAGTATACAAAATTATATCAGAACCGCATCGTTCTCAAAATGTAAGCTTCCGAAATAGTTAACATACATAAGGATGACAGCTGCTGAAGGTCTGGTTCAACACCAGTCTTAAGCACTCTGAGCAGTCCATGACTGAGCAATTAGTTTCCTGATGTCTGTCTTCTCCAACATACTTTAACGTGTCTGGCACTTGCCAGCTGTCTATAAAAGTCGATGGAGCATCACTTTTGCTTAAAACTGTCCTATTGGGTAGCGTCAGGTCATTTTCCAAGCTTCTATCACAAAAACCTGTGTATTACCAGAAGAAAAAAGCAGGTTAACACCGCACAGGTCATTCTGAAGTATGTTTGAAGTGGCATATTCAAACAAGTATATAGCTTTTAAAAAACTTATACAACATGACAGTATCACAACCCACAACAGGTGTGGAAAGTCTCTGGTAGGATCAAAACAAAAAATTCAGACAAGTTAAGCAAAGCAAAAGTAAAGATGCATCTATGAATTAAGATGGGTGAAAGGGAATCTATTGCATATCAAAGAGCTGTTCAGAGAGCCCAGCTATGGCACACAAGCTTCACCTCAACTGCACAAGCACTAAACAAAAAAGTATTTTAAAAAAAGGTTACAAAGCACTTCCATGTATATCAACAAATGAAAACTGTAAATGTTATCAGAAAAGGGAACTCCCATAAAATGCCAAGATACTTATCTGATACTGTACTTCAGAAATACTGTACTATTCTACTTATGCTTCTGAGCAGTCTTAAGCATCTATTGACTTAAGAGCTACCATAAAAGTGCAGTTTTGGCACTTCCAGGTATGCTTATATTACCCCTCAGCGGGGGCGGGGGGGAATCAAACTTTTCTGTATTCACTTCTCAGAAGGCAGCATCACATTTTTTTTCTGTTTAAACTAAGGTAGTTGGCAATTTTGAAACACTTCGGAGCAAATGAAGCAATGTAACACATGGAGAGTGACTTTGGTCAGCACAGAACATCCAAGTATTACAGTAGTCTCCTCTGGAAGGTCCTTTAAGAGCCAGCAGGTATAAAAAAGCAGAATGATGAATCAGTCCCCATTCTTTCTTTCTAATTGCAATTTCTGAGACTTTTGTATCAGACTTCTGATGTCTCCACAAACTTGCATGGCAATTCTAAATCTTTATCAGTTCAAAAACTATTTGTGGATTTAACCCTTTCTAGAGAACTGGTCTGTTTTACCATTTTTCACCAATTCTTGATAACATGAGCAAGCCATTGACAATCAGTGATACAGCAATAGGCATTCAGAGAGTAAAACAGCTTTTGAAACTGTAACCATCATTCGACCAAAAATGTTTCTAGTTGAACTTTTTGAGGTTGTGAGTCTATGCAACACAAATACGAAGTACTTGATGGTTCTGAGAAACTTCAAAGGATTGCTGTAATGTCTGGGATATCTTTTTCCACCACTTCTCTTACACATTGACAAGGAGACTTAACACAGCAAAACTAAGGCTTCACATTTAGCTTGGCGGGAGCTGGTTGCAGCTAAAACTGACATGCTTGCACTCTCTTTCACCAGTTTTGCTATAGAGACGTCCATGTTCCCTTCCCACATCCCTCATCTCCCACACCAGCTCTTCACCAGTTGCCATGTTTGCCTGATCCTTCCACTGTAAAAGACACTGTTGTCTCTGACACAGATCTTTCCAAGGAATGCTTGCTGCTACAAAACTGTAACTGTGCCTTCAGTTTTATCATTTCCATGAAGCTTAGAAAACAGGATCTACCAATACTGCAGTTCAGCCAAAAGACATCTGAGAAAGCTCAAATACAAGAAGCAAACTAACACAGAAAGCACAGGAGATCAAGGTAGACTGTTTATCCTGAAAAGATGTAGTACAAGCAGCTCATTTAAAGCAGGCTCTGGTAAGTCGCACCAGACAGCACTGTGCAGGCAGATCTATGCAGAGAATCCCAATCAGAGATGAATACCAGAAAAATACAGCATATTCTCTGAAGGAGTTGTACTTGGAACACCATCCACAGAAATGTGTTGTCATCTAGTTAAAGCACCTTGTAAACCAGGAACGTAATATTCCCAGTTCTCCCTATCACAGTAATCAAACAGCTAAAGGCAAAACAGACTTTCACGATAACTTGAATCAGGCTTACTAAAAAATACAGTCTTTACTTCTTGTTTCTATTTGATCCAATTACAATAACAATTAGCCAAACAAAGAAAGAATGATGTTGAAAACAAAAGTTAGGACAAATTACAGATAATAATCCAATTTCAAAATGGCAGTAAATTCAAACACTCTTCCTTTGTGAGAAGCACATTACTGTCTGCAGGACTTGGAACTGGACTGAGCTATCACTGGTATTTGATACTGAGCTACAGGCATTTGCCCTTTCTGAAACTGGAAAGATATCCACTGTAATTATATGAACTCTGTAACCCTGGTTTCCAGCTCCAATTTACAGCAGATAAATTTACAGATTCAGGTGTCACAGTAGGGATTTACATCAACAAATACATGCTTGCAAAAGCTATAGCACCAACAGCTTATTCAAGGCTGTTTTTTTAGAAAGAAAGAAACCATGTGAAACTATTGAGCAGACCTAACAGAGTGCAACATTATGGTTATTTAACCCATTACTATTAAGAAATTCCCACTGAACTATTCCCTCCAACAGAAAAACTAAGATTAGTTCTCTCAAGTTAACATTTCCTGTGAATTCCGACCTTTAGAAACTGAAAATAGCACATACCATTTCCTATCAGATGGGTATCTAACACTAAATCTGTAAATTACCTTGTTTGACATTATGGATTTATGCCTGTCTTATTGGGTTTTGTTACAGCAATCATGCCTGTGATTCAATCAGGTTATAGTCAGAAGCAACACCATGGGTAAAAAGTGATTACATGGCTAGGTATCAAATATAATTTCAACAATTATCAAAATTAATAATAATTTAATTTTATTAGTATCTTAAACTTTGCAATGATCTGCAATAACTCTTTGAGCCAGATCCTGCAAAAGATATTTTATATAATTAGGAAAATGTGCTTCCCTAGCAAAGCATATGAACACCTTTATTTCTTGCACTACTCTATACTTACCACATAGTCCCCAAGCTCTTGATTCTCTGGTACTGTTAAACTCAATAATCATCACGCCTGTGTTGTGAAACCACTGAATTCTGATTTTTGTTGGGGTCTCAACTGCATACTTGAAGCCTGAATCCTCGACTTTGTAACCGTATTTTCTAACAGTAGGCCAAGCAAATCTTGAATTTACTGTTATCTAAAATACACACAGAAAAGAGATTAAATATCAGGTATCAAGTGCTATAGATAGAAGAACCAAGGCCAGATTCTCGACAACTTAAGAATCTAACTCCTATATATAACAGTTTACGTGCCTTGCTCTGCGACTTACCTCATTCCCTGTCCTTGCATCACAATTTGACTCTTTGAATTTACAAGCAGTTTACTAAATTACAAAGTTGGAACAATGAATTATATTATGTCCTACTCTAATCTTCAGTACCCACATGGGGAGGCAGTTGATTACAGAAGATGCTATCTAAAAGGCAAAGAAAAACAAACCCTCAAAATACTTACTTTTCTACTTTAACGATTGATATTGATAATAATTTGGTTTGATACATAGGTTAAATTCAACATTGCCAGGCACAAAGAAGTTGAATTTGAGTTACTCTGTGGAGAAAGCAAAAATACATTAACCATAGTCATGATGTGCAAAATCTTGATACCTTAGCTACTTATTGTTTTTAGGTACTGGGACATTAAGGATTTGGGGGGGGGTATATTTTTAAGAGAGGAAAACTGCTGCTTATTGTAGTTTCAAGTCTGGACTACAAAGTTCATCTGGATAGCATTCTTGCAAAATAAACAAAATACTATGATCGCATTGTGTTCAGCAACTGTTTTATATCACCCAATCTTGAAATCAAAACAGAAATAGAGGTTTTCAGGAAAAAAAATATGGCGGACTAGCTGTTTGGACATCGAAAAACATGAACCACATATCTGAAGGTGAGCAAGAACAAGACTGGGAATGATGAATCTATATGATACATGAACAGTACAGAAGTAATGGATCAGAAATACGTGCATACTTTCCAAGCTACAAGGTGCTGAACAAACCAGATAGCACTGAATACAACAGAAAAACAAATCTGAAAGTTAAACAGATCTCCTTTTTCCTATCAATCATATTGAGCTTCTGGAATTAACTTCCATAAGGTACTACTTTGGACCAAACTTTGTGATGGACATTTATACAGACATCAAAATTACCTAGCTTTCATAGAAGAGACTTTACTAAAGAGTTTTGTAAAGGCTCATGAGAAATTAACTCCTTGTGACATAAAACCAATCTACACTACCCATTAGGCAGGATACCCATTAGAGTTTCTATCTTCCCGCTCTGTAACAACAAGTATTTGCCCCTGTCGGAGACTTGTAATGCACAGGGCAGTCTAATTTAGTCTGACAATCCTACAGCCTACTGGTGTTTCTAGTGTAAATTTCTCCATTTGAACATAGATAAAAATCATGCACTGAAATATACTGGTGGTACACTGGTACACTACAGTGGTACTTATTATGTGATGGCATTCACAGAAGTGACTAATAAATGTATATCCACTTAATCTCTCACCACCTTATCTATTTTACACATATAATAAGATAACATGGACCTACCTCTAACCTTCCAGCTGTTTCAGAAGGAACTATGCATATACAGTCAGGTGATAAAGTGCTATACAATTCATCAATGTTGTAAAGTGCAAGTACAATTCATAGATATTGCACAGAAGTGAATAATTAACCACAACTATGTAGCATTACTATGCCCTTTCTTTTAAGATACATCTTATTAGCAGTATTGAACACCATTTGTTAGCTGATAAATTTTAGTTACCATTCTACAGTCAAGGACATGGATGGTTATAATTTCATCTCGAGTTTGACTAACAACGTAGGACGCTTCTTTGAATAAAGCCAAATGATTTCCATCATAGGTTACAATGCTCAGATCAGAGAAAATTGTGCAACGACCTAAGAAAAATAAAAATAAATGTTTTTTCTAACTTATTTTAGAATTTCTGTAAATATTACAAAATATGAAGATAAAATGATAAATTTTATAAGATTAACTAGCTTACTAGAGTTTCATATATGCAGCACATATTTTCAGCTATATTTGATACTGTTGCACCTCTGTAAATGGACAGCAGAGTCAAATCCTGCATATTTCAGTGGGACGACCTGCAGGCCTCTGCCATCAGTTATTTACTTACAGTTCTTACCAGCAAAGGTTTGTAATTTTTACAAACCTCAAACTAGCAGGAAACATGAATGACAGTGGAACATGCCGGCTCCTTAGTTCCCTTCTAGTCTTGTTCCTAAGGTGGGAGCTCATGTGGAAAGATTCCTTCTTCCCACTCATTGCTAAAGCTTTTGTATTTCAAAGGGCTTGGAGTTCTACTCATAGTTATCTCAAACTCTAAAGCATAAGCAGAAATTTGCATTGCTTATCTCTGCATCCTTTCTTTAGCGTAAATAGCATAAATTGATTTTCTTTAAGGTTTGGACTCTTCCTGCCCAATTCTAGGTAATTGATGGGAGTGACTACAGTACTGCTATGCTTCCAGAGTCCCCAAACTGTAAACAGAGCTAGTTAACAGAGTCTAGGGAATCTTCTAATCCTGAAGCAGATATAAGATGAACCAAAAGATCCACTGACTATCCAGAGTCCCCAAACTGTAAACAGAGCTAGTTAACAGAGTCTAGGGAATCTTCTAATCCTGAAGCAGATATAAGATGAACCAAAAAATCCACTGACTATATTGACTAGGTGTCCTCCGATTAGACAGAAGACAAGATGGATCTAAGTCAGACCTAGACACGTCCATTGCAGATACCTATAGCTGGGTAAGAGGAATACCCTACATTAAAGGAGCATTTTGATTTCATTTCCCTGGATGTAGAACTAGAATTATAAATTGCATTTGACAATGAGTAACCTGTACAATATGCATCTTCTATTTCTATGCCATGGTATAGAAGGGTCAGTTCTTAGCCTTCTTACACATGCATTAAATTGTTACCTAAATTCACTTCAAAAGTACTGCATAATAAAACTTACATAAAACTTACATGCACATTCCCACTTTGGGCAGCATTTGTCACCATTCATTTGAGTAGCAAATCCTAAAACTCCGCAGCTGGGTTGAGTTGCATTGTATGGGCAGTTCTGCGATTTATTAACTTGGATCAGTTGTCCATCCAAGCAAATGTGTTTTATGCACTCATTCTCTGTGATTGGCTAAGGCATATTTAATAAAAGACACAGGTTACCATTCTTACCAAGCTAGCATCACAATATTGCAGAGTATTTGCTCAAAAAAGGGGCTCACATTCTTCAGGTACAGAATACTTACGAATCCCCATGACACTGATGGAAGCTACAAATGAAGAGCACCTTTGAAAACCCGACCATTCTGAGGACAGTTTAAAACTGCTGTCCTGTTGTAAAGCAGCGAACAGCATTATTGAATTTTTAACTTTACATTAAAAGAAGGTGGGAAAGGAAAAGCATAGAAGGGCACAAATAGGAATAATTACGTCTTTCCAGAGATCCCTGTTCTTTAAGGAGGGCAACGTGACAAAAAACTGCCATTGAACAATATGAAGCACCACATTTTGCCAAAAAAAAAAATTCTTATAACAGTCACACTCAGAAAACTGAGGCCCAAAACACAGTGTATTATAGCACTTACGAAAACTATTATGCGCAATGAAATCATCCAAAGTTACAGATATAATTGAGAAAACAACAGGGCTCCCTGTCTGATACAGATATTTTAAATCCTAGAGATCAAAGTATAGCTCACAATTTTTTTTAACAGTGTGTAAAAGTAACGAAGATATATTCAAAACTAAACAGATAAATATTTATAGTTACTCACCGTACAAGTTTGAAGAGTTGCTGTTTCTCTAGGCAGCATAAAAGCTGATGCTGTGACTCCTGACACGGCTTCAGCCGTTGCCAGTCCATCAGAAAACGTTGTAGTCAAGCCATAAAGTGGTTTGGTAGATAAATGGGCAAATGAGAAAACTGATGGAGCCATTGTGTCATTTGGATGGTCAGATATCGTTAGCAGTGAACTCACAGAATGTGTTTGCACCTCAGATGATACTTCAAGTTTTGAAGTTTGAGTAGTACTGACCGATGACGCAGCTATAGAAGAAAATGGTTTCGGTTCAGAGGACGAATGTACAGTGGACAGTACTGATGCACTTATATTAGAAGGAACTGCAGTTGTGTTTGTGAAATATGGAGAGTAAAATGTCTGAGATGTTTCTGGCGTAATGGTAGCACCTTGAGTATGGACAGCTTGGACTTCTGTTGTTAATTCTGGCTCTTCAGATTTTACTGTATCAAGGGGCATGGCTCCTTTTGCTTCTGAAATAACAGAAAAATAGGTGGGCTTCACAGAGCTTGTGATGGATTCTGTTACTGCTTCTGCCTTGTCTGAAGTTGCTGATACAATACTAATGTTTTGCCCAGTACTGCTTATCATTGAAGAGGCTGAAGCTGCAACTGATGAACGGGCCATAGCCGATGACAACGTACTAGCTAGAAATGTGGAACTGTAGGCGGTGGTTGGAAGTGTGACTTGCTTAGGCAATACCGCAGTTTTCTCTGTACCACTTTTGCCCATTGATGTGGATGGCCCACTCACCATCACGATGGGAACTTCTGTTTTTTCTGGTAACAAAACTGATGAAGATGTTGACTTGGATTCTGGTGAAGCTGTAGTTGTTTCAAGTGTTTGACTTGAATCAAGTGATTCAGTAAATGAGGCCTGCCATGTGAATTTTAGACCAGTACTTGTCTTTTGTATAGAAAATGAAGGAAACGCTTCTTTTTTCATCGTTGCTAAAGAAGAGGAAGCTGCAAGCACTTCTGGTGAGGAAGGGAGAATTCTGGTGCCAAAAATCAAGTCAGCTGTTGTTCTAGTTTGGACTGTAGACTGCAAAACAGAAGTAGTTCCTGATACATACGGCTGTGTGACTGAATCAGTTAAATGCAACTCTTTTTCAGTTGGTAAAATAACTTGTGTAGGACCTACTGATGTAGGTAATATGCTTGAATGAATGCCTTCAGGTAGTGAGGTGATTAAAGGGTATGAAGAAGTCAATTCTACTGTAGCTTCAGTTGTGCTAAAGACACGTTGTGGCTGACCAGTGGATTTTGTTAGAGTTGCTGCAGGATACTGGTAAATTGGGGTACTCCTTTGGCTCGTCAACAAAGGCTCAGAAGTCTGACGACCAAGTTCCATAGCCTTCTGAGTAGAAAAATGTGGTATAGCTATGGTCTTTGTGGTCTGTACTGAAAGTTTATCTCTGGAAGATGTCTGCCAAGAGAAGGAGCCTACTGAAGACAGAGGAAAAGATGGCTGAGCTGTAGGTGCTGTAAGTTTTACTGTATCTGTTATACTTTGGACTGTAGATTTCAATGCTGTAGAAACTATTTTAGTTTCTACTGGATATTTTGGTGTGGTTGTTACTTCTGGTATCATCTGTGTTAAAGAAGGTGAAGAAACCAATTTATCTGCTAGATACTGAGAGGTGGAGAAAGCGTAAGAAGACTTTGTTACTGGAAGCGTAACAGAAGGGGACAGAGTTGATTTTTCTTTGGCTGTCATTACCTTTTGGGTTGTTATGAGCTGACTGCTGAATTCAGAGGATGGGGAGAATGTGGCATAAGTGATATTTAAAGAGGCTTTGCCTGGCGATTTGTCACGTGATACTGTTGTTATTGGACTTGATTGTTCTGTTATAGTGGATAAAGGAGAGAAAGTCAGGACTGGAGAGGTCTTTTCTGTTGGTAACATAGATTTTGCTACAGTTGTTCTTGGATACAAAGAGATCATTTCATGGGATGTATGCACAGGACTGAGAGCTGTCAGTGATGCTTCTTTTCCATATGAGGGTAGTGAAGGAAGAGAAATGTTTAAAGAGATTAGAGAATGTGATGGTGAAGAAGGGAAAGCAGATGGCTTTCTAGTAGAGATGCTAGTAATTCTTTCCACTTGTGATTTATCAGGCTGTGTTGTCAACAATGTGGTTTCAGTTGCACTAAGGAGAGCAAGTGGAGATCCGGTGACAGATGTTCTTTGAGCTGACTCTCTTTCTGTAGCTACAAAAGGAACTGTGGTGGTTTCTTTTGATGAGATAGAGGCTTTCATTGCTGATGTGGTAACACTACCTGAATATGCTAAAGTGCTGGTCTTCGCTGCACTTGAAACCAGAGTTGACTTGTATTCGGTAGATGTTTTTCCAGAAAACAAAGTTGGCTTAGCTCCTAATTCAAAAGGGGATGTTATTTTGGATGTTACCTCAACAGACAAGGGTGTCACTCTGGTAGTCTCAGCCACAATGGGATATTTAGTGTATAACGTAGTCAAGAACTCTGTTGTGTTTAGAACTGTGTGTAAGGGATAACCTGTAGTTGAAACAGTTTTGAATGTTTTTTTTAATTCACCTGAAGCTGGAGAAGCAGGAGTAGGAACAGACACTGAAGGTCTTTTTGTAGAAAAAGTGATGGATTTTTCAGTTGTAGAACTAGGATGTAGTGAACGTGGAGGGAAATAGGAACTTGATGTATGCTCCACATGAGATGTTGTTTCGGGAGTTTCCTTTTTATGAGTTGTAAATGATAACGAAGTTGTTTCTGATGACCTCTTTTGAGTTTGCAGAGTTGTCTTTGGACCTAGAGTTGTAGTGAAAGGTACCTCTGCAGCACCCGTCAGGTGTTGAACCATTTCAATAGGAGGTTCTGTAATTGCCTTTCCTAATGAAATAGGTGGTGTGGATGTTGGTGAAAATGTAGTCTTCATGCTTTGTTCAGTTAAAACAATTGCTGCTTTTGTTGTTGCTGAAGACAAAGTAGTGATCACAGGAGAAAGTGATGTTACTGTAACATTAGTTACTGTGGTAAAAGACTGTCCTATGCTTATTTTTGTCCCTTCTGAAGTTCCTGTTAGGTTTACTGGTGGTGTATATGAAGGCATGCCCAGAGGTGGTGATGTGGAAAACTGGGGCAAATACACAGTAGTTTTTTCTGTTATTGATTCAAATGAACTGGGTGTAAATGCTGTAAGTCCTTCTGGTTTTACTTGTGCTTCTTTTGTGGGAAGTGTTCTTGTGGCTATTTCTGATATTTCCATTATTTTAGTTTTGACTGGCATTTCTGTTGTTCTAAGTATAAGTGGTGTTCCAGTAAAAATAAAAATAGAAACTGGTTTGCTTTCTGATTCTGTGCTTGTAGTCACTGCGTGTGTAGCAGTTACTGTCTGAGGTTCTGTAGCCCTCAATAGCTTAGTGGAACCACTACTGATCAGTTTTATCTTTGTGGAAGTTTCTGAACTGACAGTAGATGGAAAAAATGGAGAAATGTCAACAGGAGAAGACAAGCTTACATTAGATTTTGTTGTCCTAGATGTCGCTGTAGTGCTTCTCCCAGATGTCATTTCTGTTGACTGTGAAGAAATATTTGATGATAAAGTTTTGGTTGGAAGTGTTGTATTAGATGTCACAGCTGAAAATTCAGTTTCCCCTGTAGTTGCACTGAGTTGCAATTTTGAAGCAAGTGTTGTTTCCATGTCCTTTGCTTCAGGTACAAGAAATGAAGTTACCGCTTCACTGATCACTGCCAAACTTGTAGTTGATGTTACGTGTGAAACTGCTGGTGTTCGAATGCTGGGTATCAAAGGTGGACTATCATCTGCAGGTTCAATGCCTGAAATCAGACACAAGTAAACAGTAGTCTGAAATTTATAAATAATTATAGTCATGAAGCTAGCAGAGCTAAAAGGAAGTTATGTTAACTGATATAATTCCGATATTTTCAATTGCCTTTAAACTTCTAAAATTCACAGACAAATTAAAAAATAAACTAATTAAATCATTTGCTTCACATCTAATGTTACTGAAATGTTTTAAGAAGAAAGAACTTCTTTCTTAATTTAAAATTTGCCTCAGATTTTTGAGGAGTGAAATTATTTCAACTAAAATGTATGTTTAGTGAGCGCAAGATTCGTAAAACTAAGGTCATAGTCACACAAATTTAATCACCAATATTTGAAAATTTGCTTGAGAGGACAGGCAGGGATGCATCCTTCCACCCTAAAAGAAAAACAATTAGTATTAACTAGTTGAACAGTATCTTCTGGATCAAGCATTTAATTTTAGGAAAACAGAATTTATTTATAAAGTATTTTTAGATAGAATAAGACTGTCTACTTAAATATCTCATCACCAGTATACTCCTTCAAGATGTCATTGCCATGGCTTCCATTTTCTCAGATCTAAGCAAAGGCATGAACTTCGCAATACTCAGCCTTTGAAATGAGA